ATGTATATATAATCTTTAAAAGTTAATTTAGAGAGATGAGGCTATATAACGTATTAAATGTCTATTTTGTAAGCTAACAGTGAAAGATCTAGCACAATTTAGATTTTTTTTAAACACAGCTACTCCTTCTTTCCTATCGAGCACCTATAGAGCCTATAGATCTAGTCCTCATCTCTCCTCCTTCTTTTTGTGTTTGTTTTTCTCTTGTAACACCTCTAATCTTCAGCACTTATATGACCTTATTGTGTTGCAAGTGCCGTAAAACTCTTACTGAAAGAAACGAAAACAAAAACAAAAAATAGCCGAGGCTCTAAAACGTATAATCATGTTGAAAGTTAACCATGAAAGCTCTGTACAGCTTGTTTTGTTAGTAAACAGAGATGAAGCCATACACTATAGCCTACATAATTTATTTTAAAAGTTAACGGTGAAAGAAAAGATCTATACATCACCCTTTATTTTTTAAAAACAAAGGTGAGGCTATATAACCGTAATTTATTTCTAAAGCTAATGGTGAAGGGTCTATACAGCCTGCTTTATTATTTTTTAAAAAGAAAAACAAAACAAACAACAGAAGTGAGGCTATAATATAACGGCAATTTATGTTAAAAGCCAACAATTTAATGAATTCATAACATGTTTTTTTTTTAAAGATGGGCTACGCATGATTTATTAAAATATGTAACGGCTATTTGCGACTTGACAGACGATCACAGAATTCTACACTTAAGTGTAGAATTCTGTGCAGACGATCTAAAAACATTATACGAGGTATGCTTTGCCAAGCTAAGCGCAGAGGAAGTAGATTGCTCAAGTACTACTCAATAGTCATTTAATAAATAGATCTAGATCTAATCTAACATTTGCGCACTTACTACTTTTGAAGTGCAACTTCCTCCACTTCAGATTTTTACTTCATCGATGTGCTCCAAAGGAGAGACATCGTCAATGCAGTAATTAAGGTACGTTTAGGTTTTTGGTAAAAGTTAATTCCCATAGCAATGAATAATAATAAGTGGGTGGTTGGCGGGTGCTCTGGTGTTGTTTGCTCCTTCTTTCCTATCAAACATCTAATCTATCGTTCTGATCTTTCCTCCTTCTTTTTTTATGTTTGTTAATCTCTTGTAACACCTCTAA